AAAATTGACCTGTTTTGGCGTTTTTGCAAAATCTTTTTAGTTTCTGAGATATTCGGGGTGGCTCGTTTACATTGGAACACCCTGTAGTTGTCCATAAAAAAAATGTAAAATGTCAAAAAAATTTGACAGAATTTTTTAAACATTTTTTCCATGTTTTTGGTATCTTGAAATTTTTCTCTGGTGCGCAAGTTCTAACCCATCCTGTATACATATTTTTTTAAATTTTACTATTTAAAAGTTACATGGACTTTTTTAACGCGCTGGGACACTCTGTATACGTTTTCCACTTTGCATTTATTTATTTTTTTAAATTTTTTAAATTAATTTCTAGTTAAAGAGAAATTGAAAGAAGATGCAGATTCTGAAATAACAACAACTTGTTTACGAGTTTCTCTGATTTGTCCTTTGGGTAAAATGCGAATGACTACACCTTGTCGTGCTATCACTTGTAATCACTTACAATGCTTCGATTCGTCATTGTTTCTCCAAATGAATGAGAGAAAGCCAACTTGGACTTGTCCAGTTTGTGATAAACCAGCCCTCTACGATAATCTCACAATTGACGGGTTTGTCTCAATTATTTCAAAAATTTCTCATTTTTGGTTTAGTTATTTTCAGGAAGTTTTAGCTTCCCCAAATCTCCCACCAGACTTGAACGAAATTCAATTACACAAAGACGGCTCATGGAGTACTCAAGTCAATGATAAGAAGATAACAAAAAGTGAGCGTGTCCCAATCGATGACTCGATTGAAATAATCGGTGATGATATAGGTGAGTGCAATGACTCGCCTTCGCCTCGTCACAATTAATTTTTTAGAGCTTGTAACTACGGCAACCTCATCGACTGATAAAACCAAAGATGAGAAAACAAAAGAGAAAATCGTCGATTTGACATGCTCCGACTCTGATGATGATGAACCGTTGGCGAAACGTCGTGTCCTTAACCCAAAACCGGATTCCACGATTAAATTTTCAGATACGACTAGTATTTCGTCGAGTAGTAACCAATCACGTGTGACTACGACTCCGGGGCCGTCGAGTGTGTCAAGTTCCGGGTATCCGGCGAGTCCGTCAATTATTACGTTGGATAGTCCGTCACCGCCCCGTTCGCCCAATCAGAATCATCAACAGCCAGCGTCATGTATGTTGGCCAATCAGAATGGGAGTGGGAGTGAAGCAGCGTCGTTGTTCACGCCCACTACTATGCCGTTTCTGGATTTGGAGAACGAAGCGAGTGCGAATATGAATTATTCAACTGGGTATTGAAAGTTACCGATTTTTGGTTCATTTCATTCATTTCAATAAACGTATTTTTGTACATAAGTTAATTAAGGGTAATCAACATGTTTGGAGTAGTTTTTCTCGTTATAATTAGGGTAAATGTCTTATTTTTCTATCATTACAATTTTTTTTGTATTTAATTATTGTTCCAATGTATTTGTTTTTTGTGAAAACTTGAAGTTCTAATAAATTTTTTTTCATAAGTAGTGCTTTTTTATTAAAATACCAAAAACCGTGTTTTAATGAGGAGTACCTACCAATTGTTTTGGGTATTTTTTTTGATTAATTTAACACTGGAAATTGTTAAATTTTTGAAAAATGTGTATAATTGG